GCATTGAAGCAATGATAGCTTTATAGAAGTCTTTTGTGGCATGTACCTCTTTTCACAGCTGTATTGAGGTGTAATTTTGTCCCATTTTCACCAGACAGATTGATATTTCAGGTAAGTCGGTGATTTTCAAATAGCACCAGAGATGCACAATTGAACTGAGATCAGGGTTTTGACGGGGCCATTGTAGGAAATTCACCTCTTAGGCCACTCCATTGTTAAAACGGCCTAGTGCCTGGTCATTCAAGCTAAAAGATATTCTAGATTTATCCACTCTTTGTTGACAAGATGCCAAGTCCTTGCTTTGGAAAAGCAGCCCCACAGCAGGATGCTATCACGACTTGATTTCACTGTAAGCGTGATGGGTTTAATTTTAGTTATACGTGTTAGATTTGCTTTTAAATTCACCTATCTTTTCCCATATTGCTGCTAGGTCACGGTTATGCTATTTCTTTCATGCGTTCGTTTGCACCACCTTCTTATACAGAACAATATGAAGATATCTTTGCCCAATAATATGTCATTTTTACCTTTTTTTTTTTAGTTGATTTAGATGTGGCTTTCTTTATCATTAATTCAATTAAAAGTGTATTGTACTTTTCACTACAGCTTGTGACTTTGGCACCACCTGAAAAATTCAAGGCAGTAATTCAAATGTAAAGTTTTCCATTTTAATGGGTTGACGTTTTTACAGTGTAAGTACGTATTAAGTGATCTTATGATTTTTACCCATCAGATGATAAAACATTTGCAAAAAAATCCCTAAACTGCATTTAAAAAGCAAAATAGGGATCTGAATATCATAAAAAAAACTTGTCAGTGGGATCTTTTGGCTTAGATCAGCATGCGACCACATGCCAAAAATCTGTAAGAACACCTTAGCAATCTAACTTAGAAAGATGGCGGCAGGTTTTACATGTACTAACACCACTGTAAAAATAAAATACTTATGTAATAGCTTGTTATATTGGGATATTCTCCTCATCTATGAAATTTGCTTTACATTCTCATAACATAAATGTAATGCGCATTGTTAATTTTGTCTGTCGGAAATCTAAATGATGATTCTAAATTGTTTTTTACCGTGAATGTGGAAATTATTGTAATGATTCACAGTCGGAGGCCAATTGAAAGGCAATTGTTTCCTTGTTAGTGGGATTGTTACTTTTGGAAAGCACTGTATATTTGACTCTTAGTAGATTGCACTAACAATGGAGAGAAAACACTCAGGAAATCATCACCTAAAAAAAACAGACATTTCTGATTGCAGTGAATGGCCAAAACCTTAATTATGTGAGGACATAAAAAAAATCAGAAATGCAGCAAAAATACAACTAAATGAAAGATAAAAAGGACACTTTATGCTGCAAAGAAAAGTGATCAAGTGTACACCTCAAGCACGCACTTTCAAAAGGTTCAAGAAAAGCACTTACGACATTTGATAAAGAAACAACCTCACAAGATAAGCTCAATGCTAAAGTCAGTATTGCGGGGAGGTTTTTCACACAAACAAAAAAACACAAAATGTGCTGAATTTTTACTCAGTCGGGCATCTGGGTGACAAGTCAACATTCAAAAGCGTGTGCTAAACCGCCAAAGCTGCTGCAGATTTGTGGAAAGGCATCGACTGCATCAGGCAGATCCCGAGACTGAGATAACCGAGCTCAAAGAGTCACGACCTCTACTTTTCCAAGCTCTGATATACACAACATGACCACAAGCATATGGACATACACTTCCAGTTAACAGGTGTTGCCCATTACTGAGAAGTTAATACAATCAAGAATACAACCATGTCACTATGAGCACTATACAAAGTCACTATGAGCAAAGAAAGGTCAATGAAAAAACTTGACTGGCCTTCACAAAGTGTGGCATGAATCCCACTGAACACCTCTGAAATTAATTTGGAAAGCTGAGTGAGCCAGACCCCATCATCCAGCATCAGCTATTGACCTCACAGATGCTCCTCTTCTGAAATAGAAGTACATTCCTGCATCCTGATTCCAACATCTGGCGGAAAGCCTTTCCAGAGTGGAAGCTGGTAAAGCAGCACAGAGTGGACCACCTCTATATTAATGCCAATGACTTTGAAACAAGCTCATTTTGGGTATCTCATCATCTGTGCTGCAAAAATAATTCTCCCAATGAGTATTTTTGTCTTGTTTTCCATTGAAAATCCTTAAACATCATGCCGTTTGGGGTCTGTAAATGTTTAAATGTTTCTGAAAGAAGACTCTTCTGTAAGAGTAATAGTGTGTAATATTGTGAATTACTATTACAATTTATATTATCTGTTTTCAATTGTAATATATTATCATTACTCCAGTCTTCAGTGTCACATGATCCTTCTGAATCATTCTAATATGAGGATTTGCTGCTCAAGAAATATTTATTATTATCAATGTTGAAAACAGATTTGCTGCTTCATATTTTTGTGAAAACCATGATTTTTTTTAGGATTCTTTGGTTTATTTAAAATAAGATTTTTGTTACAATGTAGAAGTCTTAACTGTCACCTTTGACTGATTAAATGTCCTTGCTGACCAAAACTATTAATTTCTTTCCAAAAAAAAATCTTATTGACCCCAAAATTTTGAACGGTAGTGAAAATTAGCTTAAGAAATCAAATTAGCTCTTATCTCATTATTTACCTCCAGCAAATGTATTTTGTTTATATTTTAGATATTTTTTAAGTGGAAACAAGACAAAAATACTGATAAACAATTATTTCTTTTGCAGTACATCCACATACTTTCGGTCATGTAGTGTATATCATGAGAACATCAAGTTATAACTGAGGCATGAACAGCAGAAGCTAAAGTCAAAAATACATCGAAGAGTGAAAGTGCCGTTTGTTGACCAGCTCTTTTTTTATATATCACATGGTGAACAAAATCAATACAGACGACAGATGATGATACCGGGTCAGCACTCTGAGAAATTGAGCTGGCATCAATTGTTTTAATGAACAGGTTGGCCAGAGGCGTGAGTAGTTTCTCATCAATGTGTTCCAGCAGTGGCACCTCCTATCCGTTCAGTGTATCAGTCTCATATTCTCATGCCAGATATAATTCTCTCTAGTGCACCCAGAACAGCCTTCTCTCCAGGGAGAAACTGTGACGGTGCTTAGGCGATGTTGCAGTGCTGGTCAAACATACACAGATTGGTGCATAAGAAGAAAGGCTGTCCGGGCTGAGCTGCCAGAAGATGTCAGAATCACAAGCTGATACGAAAACTTGTTACGTTACAGTACCGGCGACGATGAACGTTCTTGATACATGCACAAAAAAAAAAAGAGTGCATGCTGTGTTTGATGGGGAAAACACAACACGACAAGCTCAGAGGGAGTCTCAAAGCAGTAGGTGATCCCCAAGGGCGCTGCATTGTCTGCTGGTTTATATGATGCTACGACACTTAGCTACAGTAGCTGATCAAATTAACCTGCTGACCTGACAACAGGGACAGTGTACCTTCATCTCTCGGGAATACAGGATTCTGACGGGGTGGACAGGAGTGTCATTTTTAAATAAGCAAATAAGGCATAAAAATGAAGGATAGGTTGCTGAGTTGCACCGAAATGCTACACTTCATACAGGCACAGTCTTGACATCCACATTCACTCGCTCTGAATCGTTCCTCGTGTCTTTTGTCGACAGTAGTCCTGCATATCGTAAGCAACGGCTGCTTTCTTGTCATGGCACATAACAACAGAAAATCACTTTATATTCTACTGTCTCAGATCAACAACCACCTGGATTCTACTCAGGTATTCATTTGCACAAGTAAAAACAGGAGATAATAAGTTCTGAATGACCTATTAAGCGGTTTAAAGGAAGTTATGCGAGTCACTTTGGGAATTTTTAGGATTTGAGGCTAAAGGTTTTTATGGGTTTTGTACAGGGGTAAAATGTTTGACAAAAGAATGCCCTAAGATTGGTTTCAGTCCAGTACTTGTCTATGAGACGAAAATAAACTAGGGCTGGGAGATATATATCAAATTTTCACAATATATTCATAATTTAATGTGCTTTTAATTTAGCCATTGTGTTTCCTAAAGACTGTGTCATACTCGAGTATGACAGTGTTTATACAGAAATGTTTTAATAGCATATTTGATTTAGACTTTAGTGGCAAAAACTTCATTCGTTTCTGTAAATCGGTTGATTTAAAATTCTGATTCTGCAGTTTGTTTGCTATTTGTTTTGTTTTTATATATATATGGTTAAATATCGTTCTAATTTGGGTTTATTTGGTGAAAAATTTTGCACAGATTTTTACAGTATTTTACTTGCATTAATCATTTGAATCTAATTGCAGCAATGGCTGTCTATAAAAAAATATATATGTAGATAAATTGGTTCACATGAATTATTAACATCGTTAAATACCATTTTTCCTTAGGTTTTAGAAAAAATGTTTAACACAGATTTTTACTGTTATTTTGAGTCTAACTGGCTACAATCGCTGTTGAAATAGTTTGATATAACTGAAAAATAATAATAAAATAAATTCTCCCTTGAAAAGGGCTGTTCATACACGTTTCCAGGGCGTGTTTGGCCATTGTTCTTACGTCTTTTGCAGCGTCTCGCACGTGACACGATATTCTAAAAACAATTGAACAATTTCAATTTAAAAGTCCCGTTTTTTCTTCCACTGCCGTGTGCTTCAAATTTGTAAACTCAAAACATGATTTGAGTGGATGACCTCTAAGCCATTTCAGAGCACATATATGTATAGAAATGAATAGAGAATATCATCAAAAGGCTGAACAATTATTTTCTAATTTGTATGTATAATTTGGTATATCGGCCAGCCCTAATGTGAGGTGATTTAAGATAAAACAAGGACGTGATTTTCTACTGAGCCCATTCTTTCTGCAATAAGTGTATGTACTCTGAAAGAAATATACTACTTGATTGTGAACAACATGAGAACATGCTAAATCCACTATTCGATCACACCAGGATTAACACCAGGTTCATTAGAGACCTCTCCTCATGGTCACGATGGGACACTTGGACAGCTACCATTTGAAATCGCATTCGAATGTTTCGTTTAGACACTGCATGACAAGTTTCATGTGTGTTACTTTAAGATGGAGGGGGAAAGAGCCAACAAGGCCGTAGTGTTAAGGAATATTCTGAAGGAATGGGAGTCTTGGTCATGACAGCTGCCATTCCGGACTGAAAAACTTAATGGGGTGCGTCTTTGCCCACTTGGCAAAAACAGCCTTCTCTGTGATGAAGCGGTGCCCGCCGTAAGGAGCGCTCTCGTGCAAGAGGTATTCGGCACATTCGTCACGACTTCCTGCTTCATAGTAGTGGTAGGGGACCTTCCGGTAGCCTTCTGATCTAAAGTAAAAAAGAAAAGAATGGAAGAAATTGTTATTTTGTTATTTCATGACAATTAAAGTGCCATTTTCACTATCCTATATTTTAAAAGGCGTTAACAACTATTTTAAGTTACTCTTTATTTCGATGGTCCACTTTCGACGTTCTACTGACTATAAGTAACTTTGCCACTGTAAGGGCCTTTCACACTAAGCGTGACGCGACACGAATGTACGTTGCGATGACGCTCTTGAATCAAAACAATAGATCCCTATGGAGTTTTTCACAACTGGCGCGATCAATCGCAGCGCGACAAAGCACGACTTTTTTTCCGACCAGTGTGTCGATTTTTTCCCCCGTGGCCCTCGAGTAAACAAGCCGTCCAATTAGATTTGAGCTTCCCCGAGCCGCTACTGTTGCAAAAAAATGTTAGAGTGGTGGCACTGTTTTTAAATCCTGTGTAAACACAGAAGAAAAGAATTCCAGAAGAGAATGGATTTTGAGTTATTTTAATTATTGGTGTCTGAGAACAGATTCATGCTCACATGTTCTTTATACAGATGATCATTTTCTACTCAATTTTCCCCCGTATGATATTATATGAAGAGCTTGAAATGGTGTTTTCTTCTGCCCGTGTCTGTTATGAGTCAAAGAGCTCATTCGCTCTAGAGCTGTCAGTCGTATTATGTGCTCATAACTCCTGCCCTTCCGAATGACGACGTTGTGTTCATTTCCTCGTTCTGAGTTCCGCACATAAACAACTATAAGAGAAACATTTCTACAGATGAAATGTAAAGCCAAATAAATATATGAGTATGACGATATATGCTCTGTATGTGTTTTTCATGTATTTTCATGTCTTACATGAGAAATGCTAAGCAGGTGTAAACGTTCAGTTTATTATAAAAATAATAATGCACGTATGCCCATTATTTAACCAAAATCCACTTTAGATCGCAGTCTGAAGTTTTTACACGCACTCGATGATGGTTTCTGTGTAGTACCAAACTTTATTTATCTTAATTTACTGTTGTATGTTGTGCAGGTTAAAGCCAAATAGAAAAACCTACGAGATACACACATGAGGAAAAATGTATTCTCGGTGGGTAAACGGTCTATTGTTCAGGCGTGAATTAGCTGAAGGCAATCAATCGTTTCACATTCAGTGTGAATGTTCCGTTTGTCTGTGATTCGCTTAGCTTTATTGCGTCGTGCTCAGTGTGAAAGGGCCTTTACGTGTTTGATCAGTTTGGTTTTGTTTTCTCTGTGCTATGTTCCTATTTTGTGTGTTTTGTCTCTACAGCCAATTCACGTTACAGCAACTACAAGTCAGTGTATTCTACTAACCCGAACCCTGACCTAACAGCCTACTAATACTCTAATGAAAGTTAGTTGACATGTAGTTGACAAGTTATTTAGTGGAATGTTTAAAGTGGACCATCGGACAGCTTCACGTATCTCTTGAGTGAAACTGAAAAAACCATTAGGAAAAAAAAATATGAAAAAAGAAAAACAAGGACATTTTTTCCTGGAATGCACTGATGAATCACGCACAATAAAGTCTATGAAGCACGTACTGTAGCAGTTTTGATTTTGCGGAAGCTTTAACTCATTGCTACTTTTTAATTCAAAGACTGAGTCCATAAGGAGAATTCCCGCTGAGAAATGGTAGCTCTGAAGACTTTTTTTTTGCTCTCAAATAGATTCAATTTTTCTCTCCCAGTAGCACCTGTTGAATTTTAATTACAAGAGATCCAGCAAGGTCAATTGCAACAACAGCTCAGCACATTATGCTAAAATAGATACTTCCCAGCTGAACTGCCTTTCATGAAAATGACTTTGTTGGAGCCACTGTTTTCTCATTTGCCAGTCTTTACAGGTGACTGGGAGTTGCTTTGGAATGAAAATTGCTCATTGTTTTGAAAGGGAGAGCGAAATGAATAAATGGTTGGGAAAACAGACTATAATAGCTACTTTACAAACACTCTAATCCCATTATTGTGTGCTTTGCTTATGTCTATCTGCAGTAGGGGGGTTGTGAGGTTGTTAAGGACACTATCATCAAAATGGAATCATAGTGAGAGATTCATGATAAAAGGGCTTTTATGCTGCTAAAGAACTATTGAATAACAATGTCAGGACTCAGGAGACATGCAGGGGAATGTGTGAGAAAACAACAGAAGGAACATTTTGAACACCAAAAATGAGTGCAGTAAATAAATAAATAGTACTAAATAATGTGTTCAGACTTTGCTTTGGTGTTCAACATATTGCAACGTTACAATGGTCCTAAAGGGGGTCATGACATGAGAAATCAAATGTTGTACATACAAAAGGTCTTTGTACCATTACAATATCCTGCAATATAGTTTAAAATGTCCTCCACAGTACAAAAAGCCTTTATATAACCAAGGTCCAAAAATGGCTTGTTTGTTTGCGAGATTTGTAGAAGAGTTGGAAAGTTGCAAAGAAACTTCGGTCCCGCTTTATATTAAGTGTCTTTAACTACTATGCAGTAACATTTAAATGAATCATTTGATACATTGCACTTATTGTGTCCATACATTTTTACATTGTACTTATAGTTGAAAAAAATACCAGCATGTAATTACAGCTGTAATTCATACATCCATAATTACATTGTTGACCTTCTCTTACCCCTTAACCCACCCTTACCACCAAACCTTCATAAAATTGAGGCTAAACCACTGGAGTCACATGGATTACTTTAATAATGTCTTTACAATCTTTCTGGGGTTTGAAAAAGGTAGTCGCGTATGCTGTCAATGGAGGGATAGAAAGCTCTAGATTTCATTAAAAAGATCTTCATTTGTGTTCGGAAGATGAACGAAAGTCTTACGTGTCAGGAACAACACGAAGGTGAGTAATTAATGAATTTTTATTTTTGGGTGAACTAACTCTTTAAAGGAGCCACCCACTTGAAACAGATTATTTCAGACAGTGTCAGAATGAAAGTTAAAAATAATCTTTTTTTTGCAAATATTTGATCGTTTTTTTGTGCAAAAAACTTCTAAGTGAATCTATTGAACATATTAAGATAATTTAAAAAAAAATACACCTCATGACTCCAATTTTGAACCTAAGATATTGGTGTGTATGTTTGTATTATTACAGACAACTGCTCTTGTATTAGCTCTGCTGTCCTATTACACCCTGAAAACAGGCGAAACTGCTTTAAAGACCACTGTCAAGTGATAGATTGCATGTCAGTCTTACTTGCAGTATGTGTCATTGATCATGCCGTAGACTCGGATCTCCTTGCACATGTCCATGGCCAGAATGAGCGTGAACCAGCCGGTGCTCAGGTACGACCCCGACTGAATCCTGGCAACATAAAATCATGATGTCAGTACTCAAATGACCCTATTTACCCATGGGTAAATGTCTTTATTCCAAAAGAAGTGGTTGATAAAACATCCATTCAAATAATCCACATTATAGGTCCCCAAAAGCTAATATCTCTTTCAAAAAGGGAAATGAAGCACCTGTGTGTAGAACATAATCTGGGTGTAGATAGATAGTGAGAAAGACCAGGACTAACAACATAGAAGATGCTCTATATAGAACAGAAACAAGCTTTACAGGTAAGCAATGAATAGTTTGTGTGAAATGAAATCCCTAAATCAGAGATGAGTTTGAAGTAAATAAAGTCCCATCACAGTTTAAATGCACACATGCTCCCATGCCTTATATAAAAGCACCTCCACAGCCTCAGTACCGTCCTCCATCTCACAGTCCTGACGCTTTTATTCCCTGCAGCTTGAGCCTGTGAAACTCTCCCCTGCAGGGCTCAGGAAAGTGGTCAATCATCAAGACATATTAGAGCACGTGGCCATTTAGAGAAGCTATTGGCACCTGTGGAAAAATCCATTTTCCAGACGCTTTGTAAAGAACACCGGTTTCATCAGAAAGAGCAGACCCGCTTTCAAAGTGCAGGCATTAATTCCCAGCCATCTACCTTCCTCTGCTCTGTGCACCATTACATTACCATTCATAGAGTTTCTGAGACATTGTTCAGCTGAATATACTGTAACAACCCTTAATGATGACTTCTCTGCTGAGAAACCTAAAGGGATAGTTCACCGAGAAATGAAAACCCATATGCTTTTCTTTTTTTTTCAGTGGAAAACAAAAGAAGAAAATTTGAAGAATATTCATGCGGCTCTTTTCTACATCTTGAACATGACTGTCAAACTAAAATAGTCCTATAACCCGTGTGCTTCATTCCAGCTATCATTTGTGTGACAAACAGACTGAAATTTAAGCTGATATTAACTGAAAATTCTCTGCAATAGCCCACATTTCACTGTATTTGAATACAATGAATGAAGAATTCTAGTTAATAATTTATGGAAATTTAATTTAGTTTCTTTTCAGAAGACTTGGAAATACAGTTCAGCAGTCATTCTACTTTATAGAAATAGAACATGTATGGTCAGCGGTGGTCTATGGAAAAGAGTTGTCTTCAAAATGTCTTCTTTTGCGTTCCATGGAAAATATATCAGCATATGGCTTAATGACTTTATCTTTTTGTCTCATTTTATATACAGGTGGAGCTGGGGAAGGTGGAGGGCTTCTGAAAGTGTGCTGCACTGTTAAGGCAAATGCTAACTGAGCATTTGAAGGTTGAACAGAGAGCTCATTGGCTATTGATACAGCAGGAACCAATCATCTGTGCCCTACAGAGAATGATGTGGTTGCAAGCAGATTGAGTTAAGGACCCATCATCACAGAACATTGTTTATTTTGTTATACTGCAAAAAGCATATTTTCCACTTATTTTAAACTTGTTTATGCTTAAAACAAATGTGACAATGCTGTTATACACTTGCATTAGATACATTCAATGATAACTAGAGCCTCAATATGTAATGCTGTTTCTGCAGTAATTATAACTCTTTTCAAAGATTCTGAACTTGAAAATAAATCCACCCAAAAAAACGTAAATTCTGTCATCATTTACTCAACCTCATGTCATTACAAACCTGCAATGAAACACAACTATGATATTTTCAAGAACTGTTTTTGTCCATACAATGGAAGTCAATGGAGTGAGGAACAACACTGGACTGCAATGACTATCATTTTACTGTATAAAAACATTGTAGCATTCTTTAAAATATATTTGTTTGTTTTCTGAAAGTAAATGTGCAATTTTTATTATTATTATCCCTTTAAGAAGATCATTTTTGCAATGTTGGAACAACAAAAAAATATATATATTTTGGAGGACACAATTGTTATAGCTAAATATAAATATAAGCTCATCTGTGCTATAGAAAATAATTTCGAATTGTCTTTCATACATTAGTAAATGCAACCTAAAATCATGTTTACGATAATGCACTTACAATGGCAGTATATGAGGCAAGACACTGGAATAAACCTTCAAATAACACTATTTGGAATATATAGACTTGCCCAACATTATACAATGCCACAAGTGAGATAGAATAGCTTAGCAACTTGCGGAAATGGAGATGCACTGCTATTCTTTACCTAATTGATTTATCTAAACAGCTCATTTTTTATGGTGCGGTTCTGCTGACTAACACAACTGAACAGTGCTTCCCTAAGATGTTTTAAAATATTTCTTCCCCTGGGATGAGTTTTTCATTTAGCCAGAATGGTAGAGTTTCCTAGCGCTCTTAGGCTGTGCCAATTTATCTTTGTGAGGAAACTAAGTACAGCCATTATTACCTGGCACATTAAAGAAGACAGACAGTACCTCCAAGCTAAGGTTGTGTTTACTTTCATTTCGGCAAGATCTATTAATAACCCAGAGGCTGTCAGCAGTTGCTAGTAAATGATAGGCCTTTAGTAAGTGCACCAGCTCCTGTTTTTAAGTGGTTTTACCTGGTCAGCACAACTTCAATTTATCCACCAGCAGCTAATGGTGCCGTGTCTGGTTTCAGTCAAGCCAATATAAAGAGAGTTCGTCACTTCTTTTTTTCAACTTTTTACCTCAATCATTGCTAAACTCATTCTTGTGTGTGAGTAATAAAAGGTTTGAAATGACAGATAAATTCTGTATGCCAAGATGGGCAGATTTTTATTTTGCCACTTGTTATTGATGTACTTGTATTTGTACTTGTAAACAAAAACAAATACATATTTTAATTTGATTAAAAAATATATATATACACTCACCTAAAGGATTATTAGGAACACCTGTTCAATTTCTCATTAATGCAATTATCTAATCAACCAATCACATGGCAGTTGCTTCAATGCATTTAGGGGTGTGGTCCTGGTCAAGACAATCTCCTGAACTCCAAACTGAATGTCAGAATGGGAAAGATTTTCACGCACATCCGTTTCTAGGGTTTACAAAGAATGGTGTGAAAAGGGAAAAACATCCAGTATGCGGCAGTCCTGTGGGCGAAAATGCCTTGTTGATGCTAGAGGTCAGAGGAGAATGGGCCGACTGATTCAAGCTGATAGAAGAGTAACTTTGACTGAAATAACCACTCGTTGCAACCGAGGTATGCAGCAAAGCATTTGTGAAGCCACAACACGCACAACCTTGAGGCGGATGGGCTACAACAGCAGAAGACCCCACCGGGTACCACTCATCTCCACTACAAATAGGAAAAAGAGGCTACAATTTGCAAGAGCTCACCAAAATTGGACAGTTGAAGACTGGAAAAATGTTGCCTGGTCTGATTAGTCTCGATTTCTGTTGAGACATTCAGATGGTAGAGTCAGAATTTGGCGTAAACAGAATGAGAACATAGATCCATCATGCCTTGTTACCACTGTGCAGGCTGGTGGTGGTGGTGTAATGGTGTGGGGGATGTTTTCTTGGCACACTTTAGGCCCCTTAGTGCCAATTGGGCATTGTTTAAATGCCACGGCCTACCTGAGCATTGTTTCTGACCATGTCCATCCCTTTATGGCCACCATGTACCCATCCTCTGATGGCTACTTCCAGCAGGATAATGCACCATGTCACAAAGCTCGAATCATTTCAAGTTAGTTTCTTGAACATGACAATGAGTTCACTGTACTAAAATGGCCCCCACAGTCACCAGATCTCAACCCAATAGAGCATCTTTGGGATGTGGTGGAACGTATATATATATAAGTATATATATATATATTAGGGCTGTCAGTTAAACGCGTTATTAACGGCGTTAACGCAAACCCATTTTAACGGCGTTAATTTTTTTATCGCGCGATTAACGGCCTTTTTGGCCTAGCAAACTTTGTAGTTTTTTTTCACATGCTTTTTATCAGGACGCGGCATGTGCGGCGCGGCGCGGTGCTTTGAAACCCATTCATTTAAATGGCTTGCGCGACGTTTTGTTGCTTCGTCGACCAAAGCGCAAGCGTATCTAGCTAGACCGGAAACAAAACAACAGGCACGACGCCGCACACACTCGTTTGGGCTTGCGAGCCGGCCAAATAGTTGGTTAACGTTGCGTTTTAAGTGGATGACGAGCGCGAGACGCCGAAATGGATGCCAATAAGATTCTGAATTGAAAGTTTACTTTTAAAAAGTTGCCAAATGGTTCCATTGACAAGACCAAAGTGATCTGTGTGTTTTGTCGTTGTGAACTGAGCTATCATCATCGCAGCACGTCCAGTCTGAAACATCCCTTTTCTTTTTTTTTCAAAATTATATGACATAATACAGTTGATATAAATGTTTCACATATACTGTTCTAAATTATTACAAATCATCATAAGATATGAAGAGCATTATAGATAACATTCATATCAATGAAATTTAAGAACATTCGAATCACATATTAGAAACAAGAAAAAGAAAGAAAGAAAAAAACAATGGAAAGGAGGTATACATGTATAATTAAAATAAAGAAGAGGAATTTAATTATTTTGAAACACCACTTGATGGCCAAGCACACACACACACACAGCTGATGCGAATTCTCCGCCCCCTCGTCAATATCAGTACCTGTCAGTATTTCTTTCACCCTTTTATTGATGGACAGTGTTACATTGTGTGAGAGATTATTTGCTCCAAGTGAGAATGTTAGTGTGAAATTGAACACAGTATATGCCAATGTTGTTTTCAATAAAAAAAACATGAGGGCTTCAAATACTTAGGAATCAATATCTGTAGCACTTGTGACAAAATATATGAAGAAAATTACTCCTCATTGCTTAATAAATCAAAAAAATAGTTACTTAGATGGATGGCCCTCCCCCTATCCCTGATTGGAAGGATTAACACAATAAAAATGAATCTATTACCCAAATTTATTTACCTATTCCAGTGTTTACCACTGAAGGTCCCTATGCCATTTTTCAAGGAATTAGATAAATCACTTACTTCCTTCCTGTGGCACAACAAAACA